GCCACAGAAAAACGTTACTTAGGGCCACAGAATCGTTACTTAGGGCCACAGAAAATCGTTACTTAGGGCCACAGAAACGTTACTTAGGGCCACAGAAAAACGTTACTTAGGGCCACAGAAACGTTACTTAGGGCCACAGAATTGTTACTTAGGGACAGACACAGAATTGTTACTGAGGGACACAGAATTGTTACTGAGGGCCACAGAACTGTTACTTAGGGCCACAGAAACGTTACTTAGGGCCACAGAATTGTTACTTAGGGACAGACACAGAATTGTTACTGAGGGACACAGAATTGTTACTGAGGGCCACAGAACTGTTACTTAGGGCCACAGAAACGTTACTTAGGGCCACAGAATTGTTACTTAGGGACAGACACAGAATTGTTACTGAGGGACACAGAATTGTTACTGAGGGCCACAGAACTGTTACTTAGGGCCACAGAAACATTACTTAGGGACACAGAATTGTTACTCAGGGACAGACACAGAATTGTTACTTAGGGACAGACACAGAATTGTTACTGAGGGACACAGAATCGTTACTTAGGGCCACAGAAACGTTACTTAGGGCCACAGAATTGTTACTTAGGGACAGACACAGAGAATTGTTACTGAGGGACACAGAATTGTTACTGAGGGACACAGAATTGTTACTGAGGGCCACAGAAACGTTACTTAGGGCCACAGTTACTTAGGGCCACAGAAACGTTACTTAGGGCCACACAGAATTGTTACTTAGGGACACAGAATTGTTACTGAGGACACAGAATTGTTACTGAGGGCCACAGAAACGTTACTTAGGGCCACAGAAACGTTACTTAGGGACACAGAATTGTTACTTAGGGACAGACACAGAATTGTTACTTAGGGACACAGAATTGTTACTGAGGGCCACAGAACTGTTACTTAGGGCCACAGAAACGTTACTTAGGGCCACAGAATTGTTACTTAGGGACAGACACAGAATTGTTACTTAGGGACAGACACAGAATTGTTACTGAGGGACACAGAATTTGTTACTTAGGGCCACAGAAACCGTTACTTAGGGCCACAGAAACGTTACTTAGGGCCACAGAATTGTTACTTAGGGACAGACACAGAATTGTTACTGAGGGACACAGAATTGTTACTGAGGGAATTGTTACACACAGAATTGTTACTTAGGGCCACAGAAAACGTTTACTTAGGGCCACTTAGGGCCACAGAAACAGAATTACTTAGGGCCACAGAATTGTTACTTAGGGCCACAGAAACGTTACTTAGGGCCACAGACACAGAATTGTTACTTAGGGCCACAGAATTGTTACTTAGGGCCACAGAATCGTTACTTAGGGCCACAGAAACGTTACTTAGGGCCACAGAATTGTTACTTAGGGACAGACACAGAATTGTTACTGAGGGACACAGAATTTGTTACTGAGGGCCACAGAACCGTTACTTAGGGGCCACAGAAACGTTACTTAGGGCCACAGAATTGTTACTTAGGGACAGACACAGAATTGTTACTTAGGGACACAGAAACGTTACTGAGGGCCACAGAAACTGTTACTTAGGGCCACAGAAACGTTACTTAGGGACACAGAAACGTTACTTAGGGCCACAGAATTGTTACTTAGGGCCACAGAATCGTTAGGGCCACAGAATTGTTACTTAGGGCCACAGAAAACGTTACTTAGGGCCACAGAATTGTTACTTAGGGACAGACACAGAAATTGTTACTGAGGGACACAGAATTGTTACTGAGGGCCACAGAATTGTTACTTAGGGCCACAGAAACGTTACTTAGGGACACAGAATTGTTACTCAGGGACAGACACAGAATTGTTACTCAGGACACAGAATTGTTACTCAGGGACACACACAGAATTGTTACTGAGGGACACAGAATTGTTACTGAGGGACACAGAATTGTTACTGAGGGACACAGAATTGTTACTTAGGGACACAGAATTGTTACTTAGGGACACAGAATTGTTACTTAGGGCCACAGAATTGTTACTTAGGGACACAGAATTGTTACTCAGGGACAGACACAGAATTGTTACTGAGGGACACAGAATTGTTACTGAGGGACACAGAATTGTTACTCAGGGACACACAGAATTGTTACTCAGGGACACAGAATTGTTACTGAGGGACACAGAATTGTTACTGAGGACACAGAATTGTTACTGAGGGACACAGAATTGTTACTGAGGGACACAGAATTGTTACTGAGGGACACAGAATTGTTACTGAGGGACACAGAATTGTTACTCAGGGACACAGAATTGTTACTGGGACACAGAATTGTTACTGAGGGACACAGAATTGTTACTGAGGGACACAGAATTGTTACTGAGGGACACAGAAATTGTTACTGAGGGACACAGAATTGTTACTGAGGGACACAGAATTGTTACTCAGGACAGACACAGAATTGTTACTGAGGGACACAGAATTGTTACTGAGGGACACAGAATTGTTACTGAGGGACACAGAATTGTTACTGAGGGACACAGAATTGTTACTCAGGGACACACAGAATTGTTACTGAGGGACACAGAATTGTTACTGAGGGACACAGAATTGTTACTGAGGGACACAGAATTGTTACTGAGGGACACAGAATTGTTACTCAGGGACACACAGAATTGTTACTGAGGGGACACAGAATTGTTACTGAGGGACACAGAATTGTTACTGAGGGACACAGAATTGTTACTGAGGGACACAGAATTGTTTACTGAGGGACACAGAATTGTTACTGAGGACACAGAATTGTTACTGAGGGACACAGAATTGTTACTCAGGGACAGACACAGAATTGTTACTCAGGGACAGACACAGAATTGTTACTCAGGGACAGACACAGAATTGTTACTCAGGGACAGACACAGAATTGTTACTGAGGGACACAGAATTGTTACTGAGGGACACAGAATTGTTACTCAGCGACAGACACAGAATTGTTACTGAGGGACAGACACAGAATTGTTACTGAGGGACACAGAATTGTTACTGAGGGACACAGAATTGTTACTCAGGGACATAGAATTGTTACTGAGGGACACAGAATTGTTACTGAGGGACACAGAATTGTTACTGAGGGACACATAATTGTTACTCAGGGACACAGAATTGTTACTCAGGGACAGATACAGAATTGTTACTCAGGGACACAGAATCGTTTAATTAAAGAGTATGTCAGACAACATGCATAGGAGTGGCAGAGGAGGCAATGTTTTAGGAGCGAGCAGACGTGGCAGCAGAGGAAGGGGTCGAGGCAGCACTAGTCGCAGCCAGAGGCCAGTGCTCCCGGTGTCATCCAGCGGTCGTGTCTCCACCGACAACCCTGCCGTCATCGATTGGTTGGCTCGGTCGTCTTCCTCTTCCCAGGTCACCTCTGACACCTACAGCCAACGGTCGGTGGGTACGTCAGACACAACCGTTAGTTGGCATGGCCCGGGAGCAAGCCCACTGAAATCACGTGTCCTCGACCTGCCCCTGTCCTTTGGTGTTCCCTCACCAAGCGAAGTATCGTATATGCTGTGGGCTCAGCCCCACTGTACAGTGAGGAAGAGCTAACAGAGGGCGGTCAGGAACGGGGGGAGACATCCGCCTCTTCAGCAGCCAGGCGAAGAAGTAGTGGCGAGGAGAGTGGCTCAGTAGCCGGTCTAGAGACAGGTCTGTCTCCTGACCCACACGCAGCCGAGGGGGCTAGTAGTGAGGCGGAGACCCTAACTGATGATGATGAGGCTGATCGCACTTGGCAGCCTCGTCGTCATCAGGCTATTGCTTCCGCATCATCAGGAGAAGAGGGTGGCAGCTTGGCAGCGAGCAAAACAGTCGGTGGGTTGCCCAGGAGGCAGCAGGGTCGCAGCAGTGTCAGTGGAGGCAAACGGCCACGGAGTAGAGCACCAGCTCCACTGCAGCCTACCACCACGGCCAGTAGTGGTGCCGGTGTGCACGGAGGAAGCAGCAGTCAGCCAGTGAGGAGTATCGGGGGCAAAGGAGGACATTGGTGCTCAGGAATTATTGAGTGAAATGGGTGGTTTTTCCACTCAGCGGACAGGAGTGAAGGAGCAGGAGCATCTGGTAGAGGAGGAGGAGGAGGAGACAGAGGACCCAGACGCACCGTGGCAGTATGCTGTGGAGATGGAGGCAGGGAGTCCCTCGCATTCCTTGGCACAAATGGCCCATAGCATGCTCGGTTGCTTGCGTAGCGACAGCCGAATAATAACCATCAGACAGAGGGATGACTTTTGGCTGTCCACCTTGTTGGACCCTTGCTACCGTTCAAAAATGGTGACCTTTTTCACACTGCTGAGAGGGAGGCCAAAATAACGTACTATAAAAACCACCTATGTAGTCAGTTGGTCTCTGCCTTTCTGCGCCAACGTCCATCCTCAGACACTGTGGGCCCTGTGCGCTCGCGTTCCGCTGCCATGGCAGCAGGGGAGGGGTGGGGTGGTAGGAGCAGTGGCAGCTCCACCAGCAGTGGCTGCCTCAGTCTGCAGTCGATGATGAGTAGCTTTCTTCACCAGCGCAGTGAGGAAACTACTAACCAGCCGCAGCAGCAGCAGCATCAGGTGGACCTGGAGCAGGACCTCAAACAACAGGCTTGGGCCTACTTGGACACCACCCTGCCAACCGAGGTAGACAATCCCCTTGACTACTGGGCAACGAAACTTGACCTTTGGCCCCAACTAGCTGAATTTGCCCTTGAAAGGCTGTCATGCCCGGCCAGTAGCGTGGCATCGGAGCGCGTGTTTAGTGCGGCAGGAGGTATTGTAAACTCCGCGGAGGACACGAACTGTCCACCCAAAGTGTGGAGAGACTCACGTTTGGTGAACAATGAATCAGGCGTGGATTAGTCTGGATTTCAAACCACCAGTTTCCTGACACAACTGACTAAATCCGCCATGAATCATGCCCCAAACATGTGCCACTTTCAGGTCTCCTCACACTGCTGGTGTGTTCCATTTTTTGTCATAGGGGTGCTGGCAGATTAACGGGCCTCCTATAGCTGCTGCCAGGCCCCTAATCTGCCAATGGGCCCCCTATACCGCCTCCTCATGCTGCTGCCAGGTTCCAGAGTCTCTCATGGGTCCCTGTACGGCCTCCCATTGCTGCTGTCTCCATCGCCACACTCTGCATGTGCCACTTTCAGGTCCCTCCTCAACACTGCTGGTGTCGTTTCCATTTTTTGTCATAGGGTGCTGGCCAGATTACGGGCCTCCCCATAGCTGCTGCCAGGCCCCTAATCTGCCATGGGCCCCATACCGCCTCCTCATAGCTTGCTGCCAGGTCCAGAGTCTCTCATGGGTCCCCTGTACGGCCTCCCCATTGCTGCTGTCTCCATCGCCACACTCTGCCATGTGCCACTTTCAGGTCTCCTCACACTGCTGGTGGTTTCCATTTTTGTCATAGGGTGCTGTATGGCCTCCCATTGCTGCTGCCGCTCCACCGCCACACTGTGGCTCCACACTCTGGTTTTGGCCCCGTGACTGCCCAAATGAGTGAAGTGTCCGTGGAGTGTGGCGGTGATTCTAAGATCGACGGCACTCATCTGCATGTCCATAGACTGACTGTCAGTATTATTTTCTCTTCTCCAACAGACTCCAAGGGCATTTAAATTAAAGGTACAGTGTTCTGCACTAATATAAAGGCTCTCTGAAGCCTAGAAACACCCTTTTATAAGTTAAATTCGCAGCGAATATATGCGACTCGAATCGAAATTTTTTCACGAATTCGCCGAATCAGTCGAATCGAATTTTTTAATAATTCGCTCATCTCTAGCTATAAACTATAAAAAAGGGCCAAAAAATTTTGAAGTCAATAACAATTATTTTTTACTTTCAGCTATAAAAAGATATATTAAGTAAACTCAAAAGTTGGTTTATAAATTTAGGGCCAAAATGTACTCTGCGAACATGTTTTATGTGTAACACAAATCCCAATAAGTGGTATAATTGATTGTTTTTTTCTTTTTCTTTGTGTGAAGTTATAGCGTCCTACAAACTATGGGTATAAAATACTGCAATTTTACGGCCATTTTTCTGCTATACAGCCGCTTGCGCTAGTTTAACAGACAATTTGCCACAACGGTCATGCAATACGATTACATAAATGAAATTTACCATTCCTTTTTTTTTTTTTCACCTACAAATTGAGCTTTTCCTTTTGGTGGTATTTGATTGCCTGTGGCGGTTTTTATTTTTTATTGCGCTATAAAAAAAAAAGCAGACAATTTTGAGGAAAAAAAAAAACAAAAAATAAAAAAAATTTTGGACTTTCTTGCATATATTAACATGTCCAGTAAAAAAAAAAAATGCAAAAATTCTAATTTAGTCATAAATATCTTGAGACAAAATGCACATTCAGACGACATTGTCTTTTCTAAATAAAAAAACCCAATACTGTGTATATTAATTGGTTTACGTGAAAGTTATAGCGTTTTTACAAATGGCTGGATAAGATAACTGGGATTTTTATGTCTTTTATTAGGAGGGTTTTTTTTCTTTTTTTTTTTTTTTTTACATCAATGAATGGCTGGGTCAATCAGCGAATTTAATGGCGGCGATTCCAGGGACTTAATGGCAGACGACCAGCTTGACTTATGGCGGGACTGCGGCATACAGTCTGACATTGGGCGTGGTTACGTGACTTGGGGTCACTGGACATCCCACAAACACTAATACAGTGATCAGGTGCAAAAAAAAAAAAACACTGACACTGTTACTAATGGCAATGGGAGGAGAAATGGTTTTTTATGCAGGGAAGGGTTGTATAGGAGTGCGGGGAGTGTTATTTAACTATGGGGGGGCGAGGGGGGGGGGTGTGTGTACCTGGACGGGACACAGGCTGGATCCGACGAAAGAGAGAAACTTGCTTCTTTCTCGATCAGCTCATCCTCGAGTCGCTGACAGGGGAAAGATGCACGCGCGTAGTGACAGACAGCACGCTCTTACTGGGAGCTGTGCTTGTCATGACACAGTGTTGACGCCGATCGCCGGAGAATCTGTAGCCGTTAATGGAGCCAGGCTGTGACCAGGCGCACTCAACATCAGGCTGGTGGTGACTCGGCTTCGGTACACCGATATAGGCGGTGGCGCCGCGCCCTAACGTTGTGCCGGCGCCCCTACTATTTGTTTACTAAAACACACATTTTTATAAACGTGGTTTGTTATTGGCCCTGCCCAGTGCCCGCCCTGCCACCGTTATATCTACACAGGGTGGCTGGGCGTCAAGTATGGTTAAAAAAGTTTTTTTTTAAAAATATGAAATATAAATTGGTAAAATATATAACAATTAAAAATTAAAAATTAAACTCTTATGCATAATTATTACGTAATTCACCTGTTAATTAACAAATGACATATTTCATTACCACCATGCAATTTTTACACAAGCGAAATGGCCAATTAAAATCAAAATGGAAAAAAATGTATTATTTTAAAAAATGTTTTTTATACAAATATTGCGAATTACATCCCCCTATATTTGACTGACTCCTATAAAATGTAAAATGTATATATAGCAATTGTAGTTGTAGAATCTAAACCCCTTAATTATTTTTAATTTTAATATTAATATATAACAATGACAATTCATCTATAACCGCATGTGTAACCCTATTAATTTGTACTATAACATGCGTCAATTTAAAGAGATGTACCCAAACAGCTACAATTTTTTGTGATGCATAAATTCTGGAAATGTGCATTCACTCTATAAACTCATGTATATCCCATATTATTTTTTGTGCACAAACATGCGTTTTAATAGAAAAGAAAATATGCCCAACTTCTACAATTTTTGTGTATGCATATATTCAATATGAATAAGGAATATAGAAGATTGATATAACAAATTTAGTGAGCACTGATGAAGCACGACAGATCAAAATTTTTTTTGTTTTTGGGGCCTTTTGGGACTAAAAAAAACCATCTCAAAATCCAACGTGAATTTCCCTTTTTTAAATAATTTTTTTCTAATTTAAAGGGTTAAACTCCTCTCCAATGCCTGTTTTTTTAAGTTGGGGCAATCGAACTTGCCGGGAAATGGAATTTTAAATTTCGAATATTTTGGAAAAAATTTTGATTTGGCCGAATCCGAAAATTAGCAGACTTAAAAAATGCGCGAATCGAAATTTTTTTCCAAAAAAGGGGCGAATGTGCGGGGGAAAGGAGGGGGGGGATCTCTGGGGGAAAACGCGGCCCCGGGGAAAAGGGACGCGACCCCTTTAATTTCATTTTATTCCCTGAAAAGTGATCGCATTAGCCAATCAGCAGCCAGCCAGCCAGCCCCTGTGTAAAAGGGCGAGCTTTTAAAAATTCCCGGCCCCTTTTTTGAATTTTTCCATTAGCCTCCCTCTTTTTAAGAGAGACAAAACCTGTCCCGTATTGAGGGACAGAGTTTTAAAAAAGGGCCCAAAAGAGACTTTAGGGCCACAAAAAATCGTTCCCTTTGGGGGCAAAAAGAACCGTTTTCTTAGGGCACAGAAAACCCTTACTTTGGGGCACACAATCGTTAAAATTAGGGAACAGAAAACCCTTAGTTAGGGCAAAAGAAATTTTTATCAGGACAAAAACAGAATTGTTACTCAGGGACGACACAGAATTGTTACTGAGGGCAGACAAAAGAAATTTTTACTTAGGGACACAGAAATTGTTTTCTGAGGGACACAGAAAATTGGGTTTCTGAGGGGCACAGAAATTTTTACTGAGGGGGCAGACAAAAGAATTGTTACTGAGGGGGGACAGACACCCCCCCCCCGATTTGGTTTCCAGGGACAGAAAAACAGGAAAAAAATTTTTTCCCATATAGGGGAAAAGGAAAAACAAAAAATTTTCCCGGAAAACACAGAATTGTTCTCCGGGACAACACAAAAATTTTTTACTCAGGGACAGACACAGAATTGTTTCTGAGGGGGACACAGAAATTTTTTCTGAGGGACACAGAATTTTTATGAGGGAAAACAGAAATTTTTTTCCGAGGGGGCACATAATTGTTACGCGGGGGCACATAATTGTTTAATGGGGGGACACAGAATTGTTTATAAGGGACCCAAGACACGAATTTTTTACCCCAGGGACAGGCACAGAATTGTTACTGAGGGACACAGGGAAATTTTTACTGAGGGGCACGAAAGTTCCCGAGGGACAAGAATTGTTAAAATCAGGGACACCGAAAATTTTTACTCCGGGGCGGGCACGAATTGTTTTCCAGGGACCCAAAAAAATTGTTTTCTCAGGGACAAAGGGAAATTTTTACTGAGGGGGGCCCGAAATTTTTTACTGAGGGAAAACAGAAATTTTTACTGAGGGACACCGATTTTTTATGAGGGGGCACCGAATTGTTACGAGGGGGCACCGAATTGTTACTCGGGACACCGAAAATTGGTTTCCAGGGGCACAGAAATTTTTAATCCCGGGACAGGCAAGAATTTTTAAATCCCGGGACACAGAATTTTTTTCTCGGAACACAGAAATTTTTACTCAGGGACAGACACAGAAATTTTTTCTCGGGACAGAAAACCCGAATTGGGTTTCTCAGGGACCCCGAAATTTTTAGGGGGGGACACAGAAAAGTTTTCTGAGGGGAAAAAGAATTGTTACTCAGGGAGGACACAGAAAATTTTTACTGAGGGGCACAGAATTGTTTCTGAGGGACACAGAATTGTTACGCAGGGAACCCCAAATTGTTAAAACTCTGGGACCCGAATTGTTACTCAGGGGCAGACACAGAAATTTTTAAATGAGGGACCCCAGAATTGGGTTTCGCCCGGGACACAAAATTTTTACAGGGACACAGGGAAATTTTTATGGGGACACAGAAAATTTTTTACTCGGGGCACAGAAAAATTTTTACTCAGGGGCAGACACAAAATTTTTTACTGAGGACACAGAATTTTTAAATGAGGGGGCACAGAATTTTTTTCTCAGGGGGCAAAAGGGGAAATTTTTTTCTGAAAGGGGCCAGAATTTTTTACTGAGGGACCGTTTTTTTTCTCAAAGGGGGCAAAAGGGGGGGAATTGTTTTACTGGGGCCGGGGGGGGGAAAAGGGGGGGGTTGGGGGTTTATGGGGGGGGGGACACCAAAAAATTTTTTTTTTTTTTTTTTTTTTTTTAAACCAGAAAATTTGTTTTTCTGAGGGCCCCAGAATTGTTTTCTCAGGGACAAAAGAATTTTTTATGAGGGACAGACACCGAATTGTTAAATGAGGGACAACCCAATTTTTCCCAGGGACAAACCCAATTGTTTACTGAGGGGGCACCGAAATTTTTACTGAGGGACACCCAAATTTTTTACTGAGGGGCACCGAAAATTTTTAAAGAGGGAAAACCGAAAATTTTTTAACAGGGAAAAACCCCAATTTTTTACTCCGGGACAGACAC